GTCCTAGCAGAACAAGGAAAATTGGCCCTTGCACCTGAAGCAAACCTTCTGTAAGATGGAAAGCACAGGTCTAAATGGGAACTTAATATCACCTAGACCAGTAGTTTTCAATCCTTTATGCACATTAGAATCACCATTGTTTGGAGAATTAAAGAACAAGGGGAAAAAATTAATGCCAGAGTCTCACCCCAGACTAAATAAATCCAACTCTCAGATATGAACCCAGGCTTTGGGATTTTTTTTTAAGTCCACCAGAAGGTTCTAGTGTGCAGTCACAGTTGAGAAACTGATTCTTTGACCTAGTTCAGCTATTCACTTCATAGATTTCAGTGAAGGGTTGGGGAGCTGCAGGAGAGACCGTCAGCAGGGGAAGGAATCTTATCAATAATCTCCAGGATTGCACTAGGATTTGATAGAACTTTCAGAACCACTTCAGACCAGACAACACTTTCCCAACAGCTCTCTTAATTAAGAGTTCTCAAGACAAATGGAATGGAATTTACTCTCCTTCCTCTGAATAAAAAGTATTACTATACAACTGTATTAAGGTGTGTTTCATATACACTAAAACACATGCATTCGCTTTATACCTAAAGTTCAACAAGTTAGATAAACTCATGTTACCACTTCCCCAATATTGAAAGAGAATATTTCCATCATCCCGAAAGTACCTGCCGCCTCTCCCGTTAGCAAACTCCATCCCAGGCCCCAAGTGACAATTACTCTGATTTTTATCACTGTAGATTAGCTTTTCTTCTTCTAGACCCTTATATAAATAGAATCAGACTGTATGCATCCTTTCGTGTCTGCATTCTTTCACTCAGCGTAAATTTTTTTTTAAACATTCAACTATGTTGGAACAGCAGTTTGTTCCACTTTATGGATAAGTAATATCCCATTGTATGAATACGTTACAGTTGATCCATTGGGTTGTGCCCAGTTTGGGACTATTATAAATTAAGCTGCTATGAGTATCTGAGCACAAGTCTTTGGGAGGGTATAAATTTTTCTTTCCCTTGAGGAAATATATAGGAGTGGAAATATTAGACCCAACATGGCTTGGGAGGCAAGACATATAGAAGAAAGTGTTCCAGCCCTGCAGTCAGCCAGAGCTGTTCTGCATACAGATAGGGCTGTTCATCAACATGGAGATTAAAATACCAACTTCACAGGCATGCTAAAGGGATTGAGGAGAATGCATGTACAGGGCTGGTAAATAGTAGATACCTAGTCAATGGTAACAGAAATAACTAGAAGCAGAACTGGTTTGAACAGAGCAAGAACCCTCAATTTCCCAGTAAGGTATTTTTTCACTACTGTATGCTGCCCACCTCCCTCCAGCCCTCCTCCAGCCAAAGGCTCTCTCCACCACCATCCAAGCCAAACACCCTCTTCTGTCTCTGAAGCTGAAGCCATAAAATATGAACTACCTTCTGAAATAATTAATTTAGAAGTGTTTCTTGGCTTGTTTTAATAATTTTTAGTTCTCTTTGGCAAAAAAATCCACATAAGAGAATATGGATAGGATGAATTAAGTACAGGAACTCAGGAAAGGAGAAATGTCTATCTTCTAGGCAGTATTAGGCTGAGGTACTACAAAGGTGATGGTCTGTGAACCTGGAAATACAATAGCTTTTGGATGATACAGGCTCATTTGCATTTAAACCCTCTCTGTCATCTAGTGCTTCCCTCCAGACCTATTTTCTACCTATGCAGCTCGTTCACTTGACTCCTTAAAGTCTTCAAAAAATGTCTCCTTTTTTGAAGTCTCCCACTCCTTTCCTATGGGCGTCCCTCATAACTCAGCTGGTAAAGAATCTGCCTAGCATGCAGGAGACCCCAGTTCAATTCCTGGTTCAGGAAGATCCCCTGGAGAAGGGATAGGCTACCCACTCCAGTATTCTTGGGCTTACCCGGTGGCTCAGCTGGTAAAGAATCCACCTGCAATGTGGGAGACTTGTGCTCGATCCTTGGGTTGGGAAGATCCCCGGAGAAGGGAACGGCTACCCACTCCAGTATTCTGGCCTGGAGAATTCCATGGACTATACAGTCCATGGTTGCAAAGAGTCTGACACAAATGAGCGACTTTCAATTCACTCACTCTTTTCCTACTCCTCTCATTCCTATACCACCCAGCACTCTTCCCACTGGAAGGACAGAGAAGCAAAGAAACACCCAATGGCCAGCACATCTTCTTAAAACATGCATGCACACACCACCCTTATTTACATCCAGCTGTAAAAAGTATGAAGGCAGTTAAATTTACCAAATGAATCATGAAAGAAGCTACGATAGTATTAGAGGTGCCCTTCTGTCACAAACATAAGAGAAGACTCTACACATAGACATCACCAGATGGTCAATACTGAAGTTAGGTTGATTACATTCTTTGCAGCCAAAGATGGAGAAGCTCTATACAGTCAGCAAAAACAAGACCGGGAGCTGACTGTGGCTCAGATCATGAACTCCTTATTGCCAAATTCAGACTTAAACTGAAGAAAGTAAGGAAAACCACTAAACCATTCAGGTATGACCTAAATCAAATCCCTTACAATTACACAGTGGAAGTGACAAATGGATTCAAGGGATTAGATCTCAAAGACAGAGT